TGTGTGTGTGTGTGTGTGTGTGTGTGTGTGTGTGTGTGTGTGTGTGTGTGTGTATAAAATTGAGAAATATTATATAAAATATTAGTTTTACAATTTACAATGTTTTATTTCAGGCGTATGATATTTTGAAACAAAGTAATTCGGATGTGGAAATGTTTAATAAGATGATAGAAGCAATAGGTAATACGCCGTTTGTACAAGATGATCTGAAAGTAGCCGGATATCTTTTATTCAAAAAATTAGCGGCTGCTGTAACCTATAATACCAATAAAAAGATCAAAGGACCGGTCACATTGATTAAGGCTTCAGAAAATTTCTTACATCTAGAAAAGGATTATGGTTTATCGAATGTAAGAGTCCCATCTCTTTTTTATATTAAAGTTCTTCAATATTTTCAATAATCAAGTTCCTTTTTGTAGCATTGTAAATTAACTTAAACAAACTTGAAGTTAAATTTTATTTTGATGTTTTAATATAATTTTAATTAAATATATTTAAATATTGTATCATCATAATTACATCCAAAAATGAAAAATTGATGAAAAAAATTTCTCAATCGAACATTAGTATAGTTACACTATAATATAGTTACAGTAATATTTACTACCTACTTATCGCGTATATACACATACTTTATTAAAAATTAATAAATTCCATCCTCCTCACTATTTGTATGGAATTCATATTTAAAAAATTGAATTTTTATCTTTTTCTTCTTTTCAGATTTGCATACAACCCGTAAGAATAGAAGAGGTGTATGGTAATCACAGGACGATGCTGTTGGGAGAAAGTGCAAAGAGAATCGCAAGTCTCTTACAAGTCCGTACGAGCCTGTAGCTTACGGAAGAACATCCGTATTTTAAGTTTTATTATATTTGAAAATGATTACGTGGCACACATGTCGCGTTGCCGATAAAACTTAATATTTTCCATGATACAGAAAAGTTGCAGAAACATTGTACATAAATGTCTTATTTAAAAATTGCAATATATTGCAAATATGACATATTATATTACTACAATGTAACAAAAAATTCTGCACTGTATGAATTGACATAATTAATAATTTGCAAAAATCTTTCTCGTATACATCTCACTTATTTTAACTGGTCTAAACTGTTGCAAGCAATTGAATCGTACAAAATGAAAAATAAGCAAAAAGCAACAAAAATATAGCTTTTTAGAATAGTAAATTTGTATGTTACCATTTATTCACGAAATGCAAAAATTTTTGTAATTTTTAAGTTTAAGAATTAATTTTATAGGATTACGTATAAGAATGTTTGTTATAATTCCCAAAGTGGGCAAATTAAATGTCCTTTATTTACTTTATGTTAATAGCGGACACAATATTGCTATTTATTTATATGTATATTAATAATTATTCTGTATATTAAACATTGATTTTCATTACTTTCTTCCTGTTAATTAAAATAAGTATTTTAAACGGGTTGATCTCATTATTTTTAGCTTTTAATTAGAGCTTTTCATCATATAATACAATGATAAAATACTAAGCAACCATAAAATATATCGAAACGTTTTACACTTGATATGATTCTTAATTATTAATTAAAACTTTATTGTTTCTATTAAATTCTTACTATTAAAATAGTTTCGATAGACATTATCTCAGCTATTATAAATTTTTCTCATAGTATGTAACACATTACATGTTTCATTCCATTAATAATTACAAGTTCATTCCAACGAAAAAAATGTATTTTTCACAAACTTCACTTTAAAATAATGTAACATGTACATTATCTCCCTTTTTTTCTTGCTTACATATAACGTAATATATTATTATAAGCAAAAATAATTATGTGTGTACAAATAAATAACACAAATTTATATCAACATTTCAAATTCTCTAATTATTTAATCAAATATATTTTCAAAAACAAATTCATACACATAATACTTCATTTATTTTCCTTTATCATATTATTATAATACTGTTTAATTATGCCATTTGCAAAAAAAAACTTATGAATAAAAATATCATCTTTGATATTCTTACGATTTGTATGATATTTTCTTTATGTGCATATCAATAAATTTATGTATTCAACAACTAAAAAAATGATGAAATAAATTTTAATTTAATGCATCGGTAAATTTAGATCGGATATCGCGGCGTTCTTATCGCATGTGAAAGACACGGTCAAAGCGTAACGGGTACCAGATTTCACTTTTTCAACTAGATGTACATTTTCGCTTCCTGAAGTAAAAATTGATACTCTTCCTGAAAATATTCCTAAATTTTGTCTCATCTTTTTAGAAGATTTAATCTATAAATTATAAACGCGCGCCTTACCTTTTCTGGGTTCTACTGTAGTATTGACACTATTCTTATCCATAAATATAAATCGGCCGCCTTCAAAATCTTTATCAAAATCATTTAAATATAGCAACGCTGTGTAATGAAACGATTCGTATGTTTCCTGAAATATATAGTTTTATTTTAATTCTATATTATATACAAAACAAAACATTCTAATTGTTAAAAAGAACAATATGTATAACGACGCATGACAAACCTTATCGATATGTGGATGCCAGTATTCATCATGTATGGTTTTCGCGGGTTTATTAGTCATCCGCGAGAAGAAGGTAAATTTGGTAAAGTAAATCTTATTTATATCTATGTCGAAATTATGCGCCACCGCATGTTGTATTTTTGTTTTCACTACTCTACAAGTTAAGAAAGAATATAACATGTATTATACAATATTAAATTATTTATTCTTAATATGCAATCTCACAATCAAATGAATATTTACATTTAACAAAACAATATTTAATAATTTGCATATATGTGTATACTTCAGAAGTTACAAATCTCTTAGAGATAGAAATGTATTTATTTATCTATCATTTATCATAATGGAATTTAAATAAACAATTTATAGTATTAATGTATTATAGACGTTGTTCAATTTAAAACATTAAAAAATATTTTGCTCTAGACTTATTCCGCAAAAGAAAAAATATTTATACATAAACAAAAATCATACTTATAAATTGCTGAATCTGTACTGTTGAATATTTTCTTTGCTTCTGGGAGTTTATAGATATTGATAAAACCTTGGCTCTTACTAACAGTGCCTGAATGAAGATCCAGAATACTTGCGCCACCTTCAGATCCAGCCAAATCTATTCCACTTTTCGCTAGTTTCAGTAAAACATCTGCCTCTGTTGTCGAGACGAGTTTGTCAGTTATAACTCTGCCGCATTTTTTTGGTACACAGCCAGAGTATTTTTCTAACTCGTCTTTATAATCCATAGAGCAGTCAACGTTCTGTGTACGACTTACCAATATGTCTTTCTGCTTTGCTAGACACACTTCTTTACCCTGTCTGTTATTACACCAAACTATTAGCAAGACTCCAAGTATCAGAACACATCTAGACCATACTCTTTGATATGGAAAAGATACAGTAGGTCCATATTTCCTACAAAATAGAAAGTAAACTGTTAGTTGATACACGAATATTATTTCACTCTTATAAATTAGATGAGTTTTCAATGGTAAACAAAGAGAAAAAGTATGAGTATCCGCGTTCTTTTTTTATAATATAATAATAATAATATAATAGTAATATTAAAATCTGAAAACTATATGCTTATAATATAAATATCAATGACAGTACAAGATATTTTTTTTAACTTTATACTCACAATTCAACAGGTTTGCTCGGTTTTTCCGCCTTGTTTTCCTCCTGCGTTATATTTTCTTTCCGCGTGTTTTTTTTCTTACTTCTCTTCACTTCTTGCATCGTTATCGTGTATATTGGTATATAGTATTGCTATTTTGTTTATCTTTTAATTTTATGTTTAATCCAACTTTTCACAGTTCATACACATGCCATACTAATGTATAACTAGAAAAGTGTCAAACACATGGTTACTCGTCAATAGTGAATCTAATGTTACGGTTTACGATTTCCTTACTGCTCACGTTTTTGTATGTGCCTTGCACTTAACAATAAAAACGCACAAATAAAATAGTAGCCTTAAGTCTAATCTACATTGATCGCAAGCGTTATAAGCGTCGTGCGACTTAAAAATTGACGCATCGGATTGGTTGATGCCTGCGATACGGCCAATATAGATTAGGCTTTAGTATCAAAATTACTAGAGACTTTTGGAGAATCTTAAAAGTGCAGGAAATTTTTCGATGTGACTTTTGGTAATCCTGCCCTTCCTGCACTTCAGACTTCAGACTCGGACACGCATGTGATTGCATGTAATGTGGTATAACGCATATTCCGAAATTCGAATGCTGCGTTATTGTTCTCTTCGTATCGTCGCTCGTCCTTTGTGAATTATCGTGAATTGTTATGCAGACGATGTAATTCACATTATGTTGTTATGTTTTCTTTATCATTATCAATAATAAACATGCTGTCCTTTTTCCGAAAGTTATCAATTGGCGGAAAGATAAAGGATGGTATACTGCCAGAGACAGTCATGGGAACAGCAGAGGATCTATTGACGGCGAAGAATCAAACGTTACAGACGGATATCGAGTTAAAAGAATCCGTTTACGGCAAGTTTTGCGCTCTATTTGTGTCTTGTAACGCGCTACCTTTTGGATATTGTCCGATATCATTGAGATGGTGCGATATTACAAGTGACTTATCCCTTATATACGCTTATTAAAACACTGAAATTTTTCAGGCAGATTCTATCAATTTATATTTATTTAGCAATTCTTATTGCTTTTCAGATTTATTAAGGACAATCAAGGATCCTGAAAAACCACAAACTTTGGAGCAACTGGATGTTGTCTATGAAGATTGCATCAAAGTTTGCCACAGCACCCCAGGAGGAGTTTCTGTCATTCGTGTGGAATTTAATCCTACAGTGCCTCACTGTTCTTTGGCAACCTTGATAGGATTGTGCATCCGCGTTAAATTGGAACGTCAATTATCAGCGTTATTTAAATTAGACATTTATATTAAAAAAGGTGCACATTCTACTGAACAAGAAAGTACGTATGCTCTTTAAATTTTAGTTTCAGTTTTTAGTGTATTTTTGTTTTTAATTATATGCGTTCAATTGCAGTTAATAAACAAATTAATGATAAGGAACGTATAGCGGCTGCAATGGAAAATCCAAACTTACGGGAACTGGTGGAGAAATGCATACTAGAAGAGGATTATTAGTGTTTTGCGATAAAGCATATGCTACATCAGATATTTTTCCGAAATGCAGTTTTAATCTAATTTATAATAATCATGTAAATAAATAATGTATTTTGTTTATATTGACGTATAATTAAGTTCAACTCATCTCGCGCATAAATGCATAGTTAAATTATTTCTTATTATTTTCTTTCTAAAAATAGAGATATTACAATCATTATTTTACAAATTTTTGTAACTTGATAATTGTAATCTTGCATTTTTCAGAGTATACCTGAGTGTATACCTATCTAATCGTAGACACCCCT